TAAAGAATGCATGAATGAGAAATAACAATGACTTTATTGCCTCTTCAAGCGGTGCTCGAAGGGGGGAGGGGAGGTGGTTAGTTTACAGGGAAGTAGAGTGAACGGCGGGGGGGGGGGGGCGGAGGGTTCATCAAGGAGAAACAAAGAAGTTTCACACCGTAGCCTGGTGAGTGACAAAACTGGTTTTCAAAGCTTCTCTGATGCGCACCAGGCCCTGCTGTACTCTTCTAACCGCCCTGGTGTCTGGCTGCCCGTAATCAGTGGCCAGGCGATTTGCCTCAACCTCCCACCCCGCCATAAATGTCTCCCCCTTACTCTCACAGATATTGTGGAGCGCACAGCAAGCAGCAATAACAATGGGGATATTGGTTTCGCCGAGGTCTATCCGAGTCAGTAATCTGTGCCAGCGTGCTTTTAAACGTCCAAATGCACATTCCACCACCATTTGGCACTTGCTCAGCCTATAATTGAACAGGTCCTAACTACTGTCCAGGCTGCCGGTGTACGACTTCATGAGCCATGGCATTAAGGGGTAGGCTGGGTCCCCAAGGATAACGATAGGCATTTCAACATCCCCAACGGTTATTTTCTGGTCCGGGAAGAAAGTCCCTTCCTCCAGCTTTCGAAACAGACCAGAGTGCCTGAAGACGCGAGCATCATGTACCTTTCCCGGCCATCCCACCTTGATGTTGGTGAAACGTCCCTTGTGATCCACCAGGGCTTGCAGCAGAATTGAAAAGTACCCTTTGCGGTTTATGTACTCAGTGGCTTGGTGCTCCGGTGACAAGATAGGGATATGGGTTCCGTCTATCGCCCCACCACAGTTTGGGAATCCCATTGCAGCAAAGCCATCCACTATGACCTGCACATTTCCTAGAGTCACTACCCTTGATATCAGCAGGTCTTTGATTGCCCTGGCAACTTGGATCACAGCAGCCCCCACAGTAGATTTGCCCACTGCAAATTGATTCCGGACTGACCGGTAGCTGTCTGGCATTGCAAGCTTCCACAGGGCTATCGCCACTCACTTCTCAACTGTGAGGGCTGCTCTCATCCTGGTATTCTGGCGCTTCAGGGCAGGGGAAAGCAAGTCACAAAGTTCTATAAAAGTGGCCTTATGCATGCAAAAGTTTCACAACCACTGGGAATCGTCCCACACCTGTAACACGATGTGGTCCCACCAGTCTGTGCTTGTTTCCCGGGCCCAGAATCGGCGTTCCATGCAGGGCCGGCTCCAGGCACCAGCCGACCAAGCACATGCTTGGGGCGGCACCTTGTAAGGGGCAGCCAATCTTGGGGTGGCGGGGCGGCGCTCGGGTTTTGTTTGTTTGTTTGTTTTGTTTTGGCAGGGTGGCGCTCGGGGATATTTTTTTTGTGTTGTTTTTGGTTTGGCGGGGCGGCTCTCAGGGGGGTTGTTTTTGGTTCGGCGGGGCAGCACGGGGGAGGTTGATTTTGGTTGGGTGGGGCAGCGCTGGGGGGGTTGTTTTAGTTTTTGGTTTGGCAGGGTGGCGCTGGGGGGGGTTGTTACTGTGGGGTGGGTTTTTTTTTTGCTTGGGGCAGCAAAAAAGTTAGAGCCGGCCCTGGTTCCATGGCATGAACCTGCCCCAGTAACACCATGATTTGCACATTGCTGGGGCCTGTACTTTGTGAGAGGTCTATGTCCATGTCAATTTCCTCATCACTCTCGTCACCACGCTGCAATCGCTGCAATCGCCTCCTCGCCTAGTCCTGGTTTTGCTTTGGCATGTTCTGGCCCTGCATATACTCAAGGACAATGCGCATGGTGTTCATAGTGCTCATAATTGCCGCGGTGATATGAGTGGGCTCCATGATCCCAGTGCTATGGCGTCTGGTCTGAAAAAAGGCGCGAAACTAGTGTCTGACGGAGGGAGGGGCGACTGACGACATGGTGTACAGGTACAGGGAATTAAAATCAACAAAGGTGGCTGTGCATCAGGGAGAAACACAAGCAACTGTCACACAGAATGCACCCCCCCAAGGATTGAACTCAAAACCCTGGGTTTAGCAGGCTGTTGATTTCACGGAGGGAGGGGGAAGCAAATGAATACAGAACAAATCTGGTCCATCTATTTTTTACATCTTAAGCTGGCAGCAGACGGTACAGCATGACTGATAGCCATCGGCATCTTCTGGGTGCTTGGCAGAAGATACTGTAATACGATTGATAGCCTTCATCGTCAAGACGGTTCAATAGGACTGCCGGCAGGACTGAGTCTCCAGGAGACAAAACATGTCTGCCCAGGTGCCTCTGATCAAACTCATTGAGGAATACGACGACGACGGATATCAATCATAATACACCATCTACTGCCAAAAGTCAAGGAGCTGCTGCTGTATAGCAATGCAGCCCCACGTCTGCCAGCACCCAGATAACCAATGACAGCTACCAGTCATACTGCACCGTCTACTGCCAAAAGGCAATTAGCTGCTGCTGTGTAGCAATGCAGTACCACGTCTGCCGGCACCCAGATGACATATGGTGACGGTGAGCTGAGCTGAGCTGAGCGGGCTCCATGCTTGCCGTGGTATGTTGTCTGCACAGGTAACCCAGGTAAAAAGGCGCGAATCGATTGTCTGCCGTTGCTCTGACAGACAGGGAGGGGGCTGACTACATGTACCCAGAACCCCCCGCAACACTGTTTTTGCATCATTGCATCATTCAGGCATTGGGATCTCAACCCAGAATTCCAATGGGCGGCGGAGACTGCGGGAACTGTGGGATAGCTACCCACAGCGCAACACTCCGGAAGTCGACGCTAGCCTCGGTACTGTGGACGCGGTCCGCCGACTTAATGCACTTGGAGCATTTTATGTGGGGACACACACAATCGACTGTATAAAACCGATTTCTATAAAACCGGATTCTATAAATTCGACCTAATTTCGTAGTGTAGACATACCCTCAGTCACATTGTGAATCCTAGCTCCTGGCAAGCAGCAGACCTCTCGGTTTTCCCAGTCAGGGCGGCAGATAGAGGACTCAGTCCTGCTCAGGAGGGAGTCCCCGACCACCACCACCCACCTCCTTCTCTTGGGAGCGGTGGTCATGGAACCCCCATCCCTAGGACAGTGCATCTCATGCCTTCCAATCAATGGAGTCATCTTCTGCTCCCTTCCCTCAGATGTATCATCTAGTCCACTCTCTGCATTAGTACCTGTGGAGAGAACATGAAAATGGTTGTTCACCTGTATCTGCATTGCTGGTACATGGACGCTCCTCTTTCTTCTTCTGGAGGTCACATGCTGCCAAATTTCATCACCGTCCCTCTGTCCTCTCTGGGCAGCCTGCTCCGAATCTTCAGAATGTTGTGCCCATAGAGGCATATCCTGATGTCTGAAAAGTGACTTGCACTGATGTGGTTTATCCTGTGTCCAGTCCTTAGGATTGTACTGATGTAAAACAATGCACAGTAGACAGGCCAATTGATCAATGATTGGGGGGCAGGCAGTGGTTAATTTCACCCAGGAGAAGCTTTTACAGGATGTCCTTTTATTTCTGTTTATTATTTAGGTAAGCTTCAAGTAGACCTAGGTAAGGGCATTTTGTTTTGTTTTCTCTCTCTCTCTGATGCAGCCTTTTCTGTGATAATGAATCCTATTGATGCTGAATTTGTCTGGCTTAATTCTAATCCCCATCTATGTGTTTGCTTCCAGAGTGGAGGAGATCCCTAAGCGATGCAGGTAATTACAACTCATATTTAATCAATGGGAGATCCTGCTCCTTTTCACTGCACAAAAAACAAGAAGGAAAGTGTAATATAATATTGTTCCTGTTCAGAGGAGACAGAGCCCTGAGGTTCAAAGGAGGAGAGGAAAGGACTATCGCAACACACGCTTCTTACACAGTGCTCCCATAATTTGGCTGGCCCTGATGACTAGCTACAGAATTTTACATAGGGAATCTATTGAATCTTGTCATTATCGACAGATCTCAGATATGTGGCAGGATGGAGCAGGCATCATGCTGGCATCAACAAGAGAGAGCCAAGCTCCAAGGTTTTAAAATTAAGTGAGTGAGGGCACAAAAAAAATTGTGACCACGTGAATGATATGAGTGGAAATCTACTGGGGCTTCCCTATGATTCCAGGGTCTCTAGTCCCCATCAGGGGAAGAGCAGGATAAGAAACATTCGGAGTCTCAGTCTTGGCTCAGCAAATCTTCCTGCTCTGTCACCTACACTGTGCTGACATCTCAGAGCTGCTGCCCATCAGAACCCGGTACATCCTGGAGGAAGGAGATTCCCTGAGTCACTCTCCAGCTGGGGCAGATTCTGTCTCTGATGCCATCAAACCCTCCCCCAGGGCTGAGCTTTGCCCCTAACGCTCTGATTCTCTCTCTCCCCAGTGAATGTGACTCTGACTCGGACTCTGGATCCAGACACAGCTCATCCCCAACTCGTCCTCTCTGAGGGTGGGAAATGTGTGAGACGGGGATACACATGGCAGCATCTGCCCAACAACCCTGAGAGATTTGACACTGAGCCCTGGGTGCTGGGCTGTGAGGGATTCACCTCGGGGAGACATTGCTGGGAGGTGGAGGTGGGGAATGAGCTTCTCTGGGCTGTGGGGGTGGCCAGAGAGTCTGTGGAGAGGAAGGGACAGATCAGCTGTCGCCCTGAGGATGGGATTTGGGCTGTGGAGTGGTGGCTGAGTCAGTTCTGGGCTCTCACCTCCCCTGCGACCCCCCTGCCCCTCCGCCGGGCCACCAGCAGGATCCGGGTTTGTCTGGACTGTGACTGGGGGCAGGTGACATTTATCGGTGCTGGTGACGAGGCCCCGATCTTCACTTTCCCGCCAGGCTCCGTCCCTGGGGAGAGAATCCGACCCTGGCTCCGGTTAGAGGTGGGATCCCAGCTCAGACTGTGTCCCTGAGACACACAGCAGAGGGGTGAACCAGAAATTAGCCTCTCTATCCTCATGAACCCCAGTCTCTATGATCTTGGAGGACTCCCCTCTACCCAGTCCCTGGCTCCTCATCTCTATGGCCCCAGAAAGCTCCTCCCCCTCCTTCTCTGCAGCCCCAGGAGACAGAGCAGGAGGCGGAAGAACCCCTGGGGCTGCAGGAGGGGCAGAGGGAGGGGCTGGGCAGAGTCTAGCACTAACAGCTGGGTTGGGGACAGGCAGAGGTGGGGGTGGGAGGGACACAGAATGAATCAATCAGGGTTTCCCGGGTTGGGGAGAAGCTGGAAGCTCCGCAGCAGCAGGGAGCATTTTGTGCAGATCTGTGGGATTAGATCTCACTGGGGCAGCAAGACGGGAAGGGATAAAATCAGGTGAGAGAATGGAGCAGCCAAGGGGGATGATCTGTGCGAGGGAGGAGAGAGGGAGAGACAAAGGAAAATAAACAGGGATCACAAGTGAGGGCTAGAAAAATGCTGAGTAGAAAAGAAGAGTATAAAGGAAAAGGGAGAAGGAAAGGGAACGTGAGCGGGACGGAGAGATTTATTAAATGTTACTAAAAGTGAGACTGTAACTCATTCATTCCCTATATTAATTCCTGGCCATTGGTGCTATTTTAGTGCCATTAAGCAAACTGCTCTGAGTAGCTGTGGATCTCCTTACACTATGCTGTGGTCATTAAAATCTGTCTTAGCTCCTTTTACTTTCCTGCTTTCCACCTACTTACTGTAAAATTAAAAACATTACAAACAATTCTTCTTGTTTCTTCCACTTTAATGTCCCAGCTGTAATTGTTGTGGGCAGCTCAAGAATGTGAGGTCCAACCTCAGGGCAGTTACAAAGCAGGGCACAAACCCCACCTGGGTTGTGAGGTCTGTATTTAGATTTCACTCACCAGGTATCAAGTGTGAACCCCTCAAGCACTAAAACAGCCTTAACATGGGCAATGGGTGAAGCTTCCCCTGGGGAAGGCTAGTTCCCTGTCCCACCTTTTGCACCCACATGCCACCCCAGGCCCTGCCCCCTCCCTGCTCAGCCGCCACCACTCGCTGCATTATTCTCCTGCCCCTGTGAGGGTAGGCTGCCCGTGTGAGGGCAGGGTTGATAAGAGATGCGGCAAAGGGGGAGGGGTCTTGAGGGGGAGGAGGGATGTGGTGAGTGGGTAGGGGTCTTCTGGGCAGGGGATGGGCGAGAGGAGGGACACAGCTGTGGGGTGGAGTAGAGGAGGGACATAATGAGTGATGGGTGGGGGGATTTCATGGGCAAGGGGATGGAGGAGAGGAGGGACACAGTGAGTGATGGGCAGAGGCATCTCGCGGGTAGGGGGGTGGATGAGAGGACAGACACGGTTCACAGGGGCATCTTGCAGGGAGGGTGGAGGAGAGGAGGGACACAGTGACCCACTGGCTGGGAGATCTTGCAGGGGCTGGGGCAAGTGGCAGTCGGGGGGGGGATTTTGTTTGAGGGGTGGGAGGAAAGGAGGGACGATGGAGAGCAGCGAGGGGGG